TTATATATAAAGAAAGAAATTAAAAATTCATGACTAAAATTTCTCAAGTTTCTTTAAATAAATCAGGAATGTTTGATATTTCCTCTGGGGGAGAAAAAAAAATGACAATATCTGGATACAAAAAATATCGTGTTAGACTAACTGACAAAGTACATAGTTATAACATTCAGTTCTAATTAATTAGTCCATGATGTGTTGGAATGAAAAGCACTGAATGATTCTGATTCCTGTAAGAATGTAGAACAACCAAATAAGGTGATGGTTTTCCAGGCATTTTAGTGTTGCTCCTAGTATTTGGGGCTTTCAGTGATCACTAATTAGATGAGCATGTACTTTTATTAAGGAGCAGAGAGTGTATACTGAAAGACCCACCCTAAAATCTTTCGATAACAGGGTCTAAGAGTGCGACTTTTTGAACCTCACAGTACCTATATCTTTAATATCATCTTCATCTTTCCTTTAAGAAGAGCTGATCTGTAGGCAAATTCATTAAGTTGACAGTATCTATTCTGCTGACTGAAAGTGGAATCGAATGCGATTAATCTAAATATAGAAATAACTACATGAAATACTGACTTAATCTTATGGTTGATATGCTCAACTGAATCTTAAAAGCAAATTTTTTAAGAACCATAGCTATTACCTAACAAGAAAAGTCTGTGGTATTTCAATATTTTTCAGCTAAATTTTTGGCAAAGCTTGTGTTCCGCAGAAGCATTCTATGTGAGAGCCCTTTCCCTAACAAAAATGTCTGACGTTTTCACTGACAGCTGCTTACTCTACACCTACTCTAAGTTCTATGCATGTCTGGAATTTGCTGTAGTGTTTGTGTGTATTTTGGCCTGAGAGCCTATATCAGAGTCTTTTTATCTAGATCTACTGGGGAAAAACACAAAAAAAATGAGATTTGATTAATCTCTCTCCTTCTCTCTCTCTCTCTCCATTTTTTGTGTGTGTGTGTGTGTGTGTGTGTGTGTGTGTGTGTGTGTGTGTGTGTGTCTTGAAACAGTGTCTCCCAGTATCATTATCTTGAATTAATGGATATTGTTAATGGATATATGGTGCTTTCTTTGGTGCTTAAGAAGGACTTCACTGCACCGCTGGCAGTGCTGTCCTTGATACATGATTAGAGTTATAGCCTATTCTCTTGCATCCAATCCATAGTAATATCACATCCTTTACTTTTCACCTAGCTCCCGTAAAGTATAACCCATCATTTCAGGAAACCTTGTACAGTACGCAGTGATATAAGTACAGAGAGTTGTGATGTTTAGAACTGACATAATAAGCAAACTAATGGAATGCTCAATGCTGAGAAGGAAAATTTCTGACATTTTGAAAAACACTACTTTGTTTTGTCCTCTTTTTCTCCTTGAAGATTGTGGTAGAATAAATGAAATTCAAGTCAGCATATTGGGCTGATGACTGAAGAATAAAATGTTCTTTTAAACAATGCTGCAAAGCAATTCCCTAAAAACAAATTACTCTCACGAGAAGAATTAGTCAGAAGAGTTACAGGTTAAAATACCAGTAGTGACACAAAATATAATAATTGTCCTGTTGCAGCAAATAGGGGACTGTTTTATTTTATCTGAATTCTTTGATTTATATGTGAGACACAACCAACGGTAAAGTGGAATTTATTTAAATTTATGAACTTTAGGATCATACAAGCCGTGGTTATGCTTTCTGCTGCCTGTGTCATGTCATTTTCCCCTCTGACAGTGATTTGGGAACAAGAACATACAGTAGAAAATACAAGACTCCTTTGACTCTTGATATTGATGCCCATACAAAAACTGTAATAGGAACATAAGTTACCAAATAGTAATTCCCAAACAGACATAGACTTGTAAGTTAAGTATTCATTATCTAGAATACATGTAAAATAGAAATGTAGATGTAAATGACATTGCATTTTGTTAAAAAATTTTATTATTTATTTCTTATTCCCTGAAGCCTATCCTGAAGGCATAGACATACAAACCCAAGTCTGATGCTTGATTTAATCGAGACTATCACAGTAGTTCAGTCTCCGTGTGTGATGAAAATAGCTGCTCTAAAAAAAACCTCCACCTTTTGTTGATTATTTTCTTAATGTAGCTGCCAACAAGAATACTTGAGTACATGTATTTTAGGTTATGTTAGTTGCACCTCTTATTCATTTTCATCCTTCAAACATCTGAAAATCAATACACCAGCTGCATAGTATGATACATTTTATGGTTTAGTAGAAACAGCGATTCTGAAAGCTTTAGTAAAAGAAAGGAAATGATAATGCACTGAAAAATATGGAATTAATTGAGTTGGGTGGGATGGAGTGAGGTAAAATTTTTAGCTGAATTCAGAAGCAATGTTTTCTTGTGGGAATTGAAATCCTATTTAACATCCTCTGAAGTTCTCTCTGTGATTTTGTTTTTGACAGTCAAATTTATAAATTCATTGGGCAGATATTAGAGAACTGTTTCCAAATCATTTCTTAATTAAGTCATCTTAAAAGAAGAGAATTAAATCTCTTGTTTCTACTTGAGCAATTAATTCATCCTCTCAGTGTTGTGGGTGAATCATAATTTCAAAGATTTCATGATTATTCATGCGAACAAAAAGGCAGAAAAAATAAGTTGATTAATTTTTGCTGCTTTGGAGAAGGAGAAAACTAAAAGGAATATATAATCTCTCTTTCTCTCTTCTATGTACATCAATCTAGGTTTTAATTTTCCTTGCTTCTGTTTTAATGAAATTCAATATCATTTTCCTCTTTAAGGAACCAACCAACAATATTTCCAGCATTTTATCTGACTTATTTTGGGATATGTCTGAAGGAAAATGATTTTTACAGATATAATTACTTTTTATGCATGTAAACTAGTTTTCTTTGCAGATTTAAGGTGCTCTGATCCGTGACACAGGGGAAAGATCCTAAGATTCAGACATACACCTATGAGGACTATCCAGTTGTATGCTGGACCATCTGGAAGCCTTAGTTCTAGTACAAGCACTTTCAGGAGTGTTATGTACATTACCGTGTGCTCCCAGTGAACAGATACAAGATTTTCTTCTTCTCTTGAAATCTGAACCTCAGCTGTCTAGCATGCAGTGGATATTACACCTGCGAGTGTTTTTAAGCAATGGGATTAGTTTGTACTAGGGTGCTTCCTCTATGTTGCTGGAAGCAAGCTGACTGTAGACGGGAACAGTTACTTCAGCCAAGACTAAGGCAGCTGCTTCAGTCCTTCAGTTCTACAGTACCATAGCTTTCAAAATTTCAAGAGCAATTTCTGAGGTATCTTATAGATTTTTATAAGAAGTCCACTTCAGCTGAGTCTACAGAGGCAAAGCAGAATGACAACACATGAAAAGTTGATATAATGTCAGAGCATAACAATTTTACATATCCATACTGGGTGCAAGCACTGCTGTTATGAACATTTCAAACAATTTTTATGAGCATGGTGTTGCACTGAAGGTCATTCATATAAGTAGTTTGCTCTGACACTGGAGCACAGAGCAAGGTACTGATAACTAAAAAATTTTTCTCATGAAGTTGCTCTTTATGACACTGATATAACTGAAAGTTTAATATTGGAAACTAACTTACTGCGTTGCTCAGATTATGGTTACATTTTCTTTCTTTTCTGAGTCGCATGACAGGCTAGTATAAGGCTTATTAGTTCAAGGTATTTACTAAGTCTAGAGAGTCTTCAGCAAATAAGTTCTTCCTATTCTTATAAAAGAAACCATAAATAGTTATCTTGCTTCCTCCAACCAAATGACTCTTTCAGGAATAACCCAGAAGTTTTGCTTCAGAATATAATAAAACAATATCTTCTTTTACAGACAAAATGTTCCCTGGGGGCTAAAGACATCTGAACAAATTCTGAGGATTGACCTCTATTTTGTACCTACTAATGCCCAAGCAGAATCTTATTGTCTCCATTTCTTTTCAGTCTTCTATCTCAGTACTGTTCTGCTATTTAAAGTCCTGTCTCCCCAGCGTGTGCCCTCCAGCAGCAAAGCTGCAGAGAGATTTGAATGTTGAGATGACTGAAGTCTGTGTGCTTCCTGGGAAAGAAGTTGTCCTCAGGCACTCTGTCGAGCTAAGAATACTTTTTCCAGCAAAGACTGTAAATAATGGAATTTTTTGCTGTTTTGGGGATGGCTCAAAAGAGATTTTGCAGTTTTAAGGAGTTTTTTTTCTCTATCTACTATTTATTTTGCTGATTCAAACCAGAATATTCAGTGTTGTGATTCCAAAGAAAACATTTTTAAGACAAATGTTACTATATTACAGGATTGATGTTTTTTTTGTTTGTTTGTTTAGCTGACTAAATAGTGCAACATTTATTAAATTAACTTTATTTATTAATTTAATTTAAATAAATAACAAGTATATCACCTACTTTTCAATAAATATATTATTTATATGAATATATATAATAAATTATTTATAGAATAAAGAATAGTAATATAAATAATAATATAATGAAAATATAAATAATAAATTATTTATATAATATATAAAAATAAATATATTTATTGAAAAGTAGTTAATATCCTTGTTACTTAAAACACTATATATATTTTTATTAATTTAGAGCATTTGTACAAGTTTGATTTACTGTTTATGACAGATGTGGAACTTCAGAGAACTTGCTGGGCAAATTTTATCTTGTGGAAGATTAACTTGATAGTACTTAACCTGGCACTTCTGCTCAGAATTTTTCCTTATGTTCTTGCGGCTTCACATGCCTTCTGATTTCTCTGGCTATCTAAAATTGTAATACACAGAGTAGAAGTTATCAAAGTAAATTAAAATTACAAATCTTCTCCAAGTATTTTCCCTCATTTCTACACTAAACATAAGGTATAATGTATTTTTCCTATTAGTTCCCTTTCAGTATTTTATAATTTTTTTTCCTTTCCCAAGGAAGAGTCCTGCCCTTTGTGATCCTTGAAGACACTGAGTAATTTTATCTAATACTTCTTTATTTTATGTACAGGGATGGAGGTAGCTGGAAACTACAGAAGAATCTGTGCTGAACACAGGTCCGTGGAGGTTATCTGCAAAATTAGCATGCAAACTGGAGCAGCAGTGAGATGTGGTGTTGGATTTGTTATTACTTTCTTTGGGAGAAGGCATAGAGAAGCTACACTCTCAATAGCAGGTATGTGTTTGGGAGAGAAGTGTGTATGTGTTTTGGGGATGTAGGTAGCTGGGTAGTGGTAACAGAACTTGGCTATCCTAAAAAAAGTCAAAGGTCTTCCCTGTGCAAGTAGTTTCAACACACTATATGAAGTAGAAGAGTGCAGTAACAGAGGAAGCTTGGAAGATAGGCAAGATCATACTACAATTGCACAGAAAAAAGACATGAAGATTAGCATTGAAAGTGAAAGATGTAAGTGTATTGCAAAGCAAACTAAAGTATGCCCTTATCTGAAGCAGGTGATAGAAACTGAATGTGAATATTTTAGTTCTTTACAGTGCTGAAGACAATCTACTGATGTTAACAACAAAAAAAAAATTCTGCCAATAATTCCACAGTGAACATCCTAAAATTTCCTCCCTGCTGGAGGGGTGAGTCTCCACAAGTCTCTCCTGGAGTGTTTGAGCCTTGAGATGGAAGGGTTTTCTGTTTTCTTGTCCTGCTTGCTCAGCCCTGCTTGTCCTTCATATGCAGAATCTCCCCAGGGTCGCTGGCAGTCATTTTGCAGTTTTACAAACTTGGCAATTGACCTTTCTTTCTAACCCAGGGCAAGGACTGCCACAGTTCCACAGGAGATAAAAAGCCATGTGCAGATCCGCATGTTCAAGAGCAGTGTCACTCCTATATTTCTGCTTGCTCAGGGCTCCTCAGTATACAGAGTATATGTATGACAAAACTTTGCTGTTGTTCTGGTCTGTTTATTTCCAGGAATGCAATCCAAAGCGGTGTGAGAACTGATCAGTGCTGCACTTGGCATGAACATAAGGGCACATCTGTATACCTCAAAATTTAGAAAACTGTGGTGAGTAGATGGTCTTCAGATCTCTGGAGCAACACTTTCTCATCCAGAAACAGTCCCACTCCTCAGTTCCATTTCAGCTGTATGGGCTGGTGGCAATCACTGCTTAATTGGAAGGTCACTGTGCCACCAGCCTGTTCTTTGCCATGGCAAAGAGGCAAAGACCCAACCCGCTAATGAAAATGAGGCAGACTGGCCTATACTTGAAGGGAGAAGGTGCTGAGCCAAACATCTTCAATTTCTGAAGAGACAAAGTATACCTTTGCCAAGCTGTTCTCTAGGGAAAGCAATCCACTTGGTATTTCTGGGGAAAACTGCAGTTGCTAAGGCCTATTTCAACAGTGACAACAGTTGAAATTTAGTAGCACTATTTCACTTAGCACTCTTTCGGTGCCTCCTGGCAGTCCATATTAATGAACAGTGTGTCAAAACACACAGGAGCAGTAGTAGTTATCAGTATCTTTGCACTATCTAGACACAACATAATCAGCTTCAGTACTTTGTGTTTGCTTTTTGTTGGATGGTTATTTCTATTTTTTTAATTAGTGATGGAATAGAATTTCCCTAGTAATAAAGAGTTAACTCCTACATTGCAATATGTGTTACTTGCACTGAAGAATTTTTTAATCTGGACACTGGAAAAGGCACAATAGTGTCTGATAAGTATACTGATTAGCTGATACACTGATCCCAAAACTCTGAGATGAAATATGTAGCACTGTGTTATGAGTACAGTAAACCTAGCAGCAAAGACCTTCTTCATTTTCTCAGACTGACTACCATTAGTTTCTGCTTCGCTTGTCTTTAGGCTATGTCTGTGGGTAAACGTCACATAAAAGAGTAGCTGGGATATCCACAATATTTAAACCAGCTGCAAGAGAAAGGCTATCAGTCACCCAGGATAATTAAACCACTATTCTTCCTTTTCCCCTAATTTATTTTTATTTTCTTTTTTTTTTTAACTTAGATGGACATAATTGTGTAACTGAGACTGTATAACTTCACATAGAGATTAGGAGACAATGTTTGGCTTTGTTTCAGCTGGGACAGAACTCACTTCCTTAAGCATGTCCAAGAAGATGCTCTGTTGTGATGTTAAAAAAAAAATAATGTCAATAACTTCAGCACATCCAGGTGATGCGGAGGAGAGATACACAGAGACAATAAGATATAGTTCTCATTACAGTCTTGCGAAAGACAAATGAGCTGAACAGGCAAGGAGTGGGGGAGTGAGTGGGGTATTGCCTCATAGTTAAAAGAAACAAATAAATGGAGGAAAAGGAGGAAAACCTGTAAAAACCCCGTAAAAAAAAACAGCAAAAAGAAACGTAGCACATAACATAGCACATCACAACAAAAGCTAAGTAAAGGTAAGCACAAGATACCATTTGAATAACATGAAACAAATTTTATTATGAGGAATCAGGAAGTGAGGAAACAATTCACATTGAACACAGGATGAAATAGTAATGAAATAATACCAAAGAAACACCCACAGACTGAACATATGCAGGGACACCTCCTGGCACGCTATTGCCTCCTGGTAACACTCAATGCTTCTTCCAGCGAGCTCCATTTCCCACTCAGGTGCGGGCAGGTGGCTCTTGCCCTCTCTACGGGGGGGCCACGCTCCCCAGGCAGCCAAAGGAGCAACAAGGCAAAAGGCCAACTACAGCAAAGACCCGAGCCCTGCTTACAGGGAGGTCGCCCAGCTCAGAACCGGCCTGGTCACCAAGGTGCTGGCAGTGCTTTACTGAAATGTGACTATGCTCCTGCTACCAGGGAGGTGCTTTTGCCCAGAGAGCCTCTCTCCTTCTCCCCCATCCACAGACTTGTGCTTCCTCCTCTTGCTCGCTGTTGCCTCCCGGTTCCAGTTGCCGCTTCTTCCTTCTCTGGAGCAGCGCCTGAAAAATGAAGGGTCCCATTACACCCGAAGACAAACAACCCCACTATCCAACGAAAACAGGAAACCCAACATCCAGAGGGAGCTCGGCACACTACAACCCAGCCACAGAAGCATTTACATCAACCCCTTCCCAATTCATCCCAGCAAAAAAAAAAACCCCCCAAAAAAAAACCCCACACAAACCAGAAAAAAAAAACCAACACAACACACAACCAAAAAACAACCAAACCAAAAAACAAACAAAAAAAAACACAGAAACACAGAACAGCTTTCTCACCCATGGCGATGCGCTGCGGAGCTCCAGCCGGTGCTGCGGAGGGTCACAGAGGCGGGCAGACTGGGCAAATGGAGCTGGGCACACCAAAAGCAGCAACCAAAGGGTCACCTTCCCTGCTTACAGGGGTCCCCTGATGCTGCCACCATTGCAAAGGGCCTGGGACTCCAAGGCACGGCCAATCCCTGACTTACAGGGCAGCCTTGCTCCACAGGCAGAGGGAGGCTCCTTCTCTCCCACACCGGGGCACCTTGACCCATACCCCACTAACGGGGCGGTCGCCCCACACAGGCTGCCAGCAGAGCTCAAAGGCTCACGCACCCAGACCCTGATTACAGGCGGGGCGACGACACCCACGGAGCCACAGAGCTCGGTTTCCCCCCCAGCAGCAGGAACGACACTCAGCAGCCAGGCAGCGGGGTGGCACGGCCAAAGGCCACAATCGGGATCCCAGCCCCAATTGCAGGGAGGGCGCAAGCCCAACCTCACCTCTCTCAGCCCGAGCCTCTGAAAGGCCGGGGTCACATACCCGCCTGACTACAGGGGGTCTTCTCTCAGAACACAGCTCACCAAACACACGGGGCACACACAGCCCTGTCTACAGGACGGTGCCCAACACCTCACCATCGCCAAGAAGCCCCACGGAGCACGCGGCTCCCACCAACGCCTGAGCTACAGGCTGGCCCGCCCGGCTGCAGCACAACACCACGCCTTTGCAAACCCAGGGAACAACCTCGACCCGCCGAGCGGGGAGGTCGCCCCAGCTACAAGCAGCACCTCAACCTGCACCCTCTGACGGGACAGGGAGGGGTCATTCCCACCAACTGGCTGGCTAAAGCAGCTGCCCCAGACCTGATCACAGGGGGGCGGGCCGCTACGGGGACACAGGGCTCCACAGATTCTGACACGCACCCCGACTACAGGGCCGTCACGCAGCCAGCAGAACAGGCGGCCACGCAGGGACAGGACCAAGCCCTGGCTACAGGGCGGCCTCGGCCACAGAATTACCATGTACAGGGCTGTTACCTTGGCAGGCCACCAGCAGGCAGAAACGCCCAGGGGCCGGAGGAACAGGGGCAGGGAAACGGCACCTACCCTGCTTACAGGGTGGCCTTGGCCACAGGGCTACCATGTGGCTCTGATCTCTCCTAAGGATAAAGGACGTGACAGGACACTCACTGTGCTCGTGGGACTAAGAGGGAACACCCCACTTGTGCCATGCATCAAGTCCTCCATTCCCCCTTGGGAAGTCCAAGCTAAGCTGCAGCCTTTTTTGTGGAGGCCTAAAGGGAAAGGTCAATCACACTGTCACAACACAAACACATGCAAGGAAAGGAAGGGGAACACACACACACAGATGGAACTTTCCAGAAGGGAAGGACAACGCAGCGCAGCTAAACCCTGGGAATAAACCCGCACCCACGAGCAACAGGAAAGAGCCTGTGACCTGTCTCCTAGCTGCACGGAGGCTACAGACCTCAACGTGCCAAAGGGCTTTGCAGATAAGGCAGAAGGCTGAGACAAGCACCCCGAGTACAGGGCTGTCGCCTTGACAGGCCACCAGCAGGCAGCAACGCCGCGGGGCCGGAGGAACAGGGGCAGGGAAACGGCACCTACCCTGCTTACAGGGTGGCCTTGGGGTCCAGCGAGCTCCATTTCCCACTCAGGTGCGGGGAGGTGGCTCTTGCCCTCTCTACGGGGGGCCACGCTCCCCAGGCAGCCAAAGGAGCAACAAGGCAAAAGGCCAACTACAGCAAAGACCCGAGCCCTGCTTACAGGGAGGTCGCCCAGCTCAGAACCGGCCTGGTCACCAAGGTGCCGGCAGCGCTCTACTGAAATGTGACTGTGCCCCCGCTAACAGGGAGATGCTTTTGCCCAGAGAGCCTCTCTCCTTCTCCCCCATCCACAGGCTTCTGCTTCCTCCTCTTGCTCGCTGTTGCCTCCCGGAGTCCCATTCGCTGTTGCCTCCCGGAGTCCCACTCGCTGCTTCTTCTTTCTTCTGCAGCAGCTCCTGAAAAATGAAGGGCCCCCATTAGACCTGAGGAGCAACAACCCCACCACCCAAAAGACACAGGAAGCCCAACATCCAGAGGGAGCTCGGCACACGACCACCCAGCCCCAGTAGCCCTTACACCCCCCCGTACCCAATTCCTCCCAGCCAAAATCACTGAGAGCAGCTATTCTCACCCATGGCGATGCGCTGCGGAGCTCCAGCCGGTGCTGCGGAGGGTCACAGAGGCGGGCAGACTGGGCAAATGGAGCTGGGCACACAAAACGCAGCGACCAAAGGGTCACCTTCCCTGCTTACAGGGGTCCCCTGATGCTGCCACCATTGCAAAGGGCCTGGGACTCCAAGGCACGGCCAATCCCTGACTTACAGGGCAGCCTTGCTCCACAGGCAGAGGGAGGCTCCTTCTCTCCCACACCGGGGCACCTTGACCCATACCCCACTAACGGGGCGGTCGCCCCACACAGGCTGCCAGCAGAGCTCAAAGGCTCACGCACCCAGACCCTGATTACAGGCGGGGCGACGACACCCACGGAGCCACAGAGCTCGGTTTCCCCCCCAGCAGCAGGAACGACACTCAGCAGCCAGGCAGCGGGGTGGCACGGCCAAAGGCCACAATCGGGATCCCAGCCCCAATTGCAGGGAGGGCGCAAGCCCAACCTCACCTCTCTCAGCCCGAGCCTCTGAAAGGCCGGGGTCACATACCCGCCTGACTACAGGGGGTCTTCTCTCAGAACACAGCTCACCAAACACACGGGGCACACACAGCCCTGTCTACAGGACGGTGCCCAACACCTCACCATCGCCAAGAAGCCCCACGGAGCACGCGGCTCCCACCAACGCCTGAGCTACAGGCTGGCCCGCCCGGCTGCAGCACAACACCACGCCTTTGCAAACCCAGGGAACAACCTCGACCCGCCGAGCGGGGAGGTCGCCCCAGCTACAAGCAGCACCTCAACCTGCACCCTCTGACGGGACAGGGAGGGGTCATTCCCACCAACTGGCTGGCTAAAGCAGCTGCCCCAGACCTGATCACAGGGGGGCGGGCCGCTACGGGGACACAGGGCTCCACAGATTCTGACACGCACCCCGACTACAGGGCCGTCACGCCGCCCATGCAGGGACAGGACCAAGCCCTGGCTACAGGGCACAGAATTACCATGTACAGAGCTGTTACCTTGGCAGGCCACCAGCAGGCAGCAACGCCGCGGGGCCGGAGGAACAGGGGCAGGGAAACGGCACCTACCCTGCTTACAGGGTGGCCTTGGGGTCCAGCGAGCTCCATTTCCCACTCAGGTGCGGGGAGGTGGCTCTTGCCCTCTCTACGGGGGGCCACGCTCCCCAGGCAGCTAAAGGAGCAACAAGGCAAAAGGCCAACTACAGCAAAGACCCGAGCCCTGCTTACAGGGAGGTCGCCCAGCTCAGAACCGGCCTGGTCACCAAGGTGCCGGCAGCGCTCTACTGAAATGTGACTGTGCCCCCGCTAACAGGGAGATGCTTTTGCCCAGAGAGCCTCTCTCCTTCTCCCCCATCCACAGGCTTCTGCTTCCTCCTCTTGCTCGCTGTTGCCTCCCGGAGTCCCATTCGCTG